TATGATATGCTATACTATGATATGATGTGCTATGCCTATGATATGCTATACTATGCCAAGTTGCGCTACGCTATGCTATGCTATGACATGCTATGATATGCTGCGCTATCATGTGCTATGATATGCTATGCTATGCTATGACATGCTTGGCTATGTTATGTTATGATGTGCTATGCTAATACAGCGCTATGCTAAGCTAAGCTAAGCTAAGCTAAGCTAACCCTCTAGGCAGAGCCTAGGTAGGGAATTACACCCAAGGAGTGGAATTCCTATTGCACATTGCTTTTGCTTTGCCTTTCCTTTGGTTTGCTTTTGCTGTTGCTTTGCTTTGCTTTGCGTTGCTTGTGCTTTGCTTTGCTGTCGCTGCTGTTGCTTTGCCTTAGATGTGCTGCTTTGCTCTGCTCTGCTCTGCTATGCTATGCTATGATCCGCTGTGCTGTGCTGTGCTGCGCCACGCTATGCTATGCTATGCTATGCTGCGCTATGCTATGCTATGCTGGGCTATGCTATGAAAAGGTGTGCTGCGCTATGCCATGCTACGCTATGCTATACTATGCTGTACTGTGCTATGCTAAAGCTCAGGGAAGCTAATATGAAGCTACGTCAAGCTAATATAAACCTGAGCTAACGTGAAGCTAAGCTAAGCTAAGCTGAATTAAGCTAAGCTAAGATGAGATACGCAACGCCAAGTTAAGGGGACGTAAGTAGGAACCGAGGGTCGGATGCCGGAGGAACCGCCAGGGGCGCTTTGCACTGCCCGGCCCTTTAAGCACACAGGGTAAGAATCCTTCTAGGCAGAGCCTAGGTAGGGACACATTTTTTTTATGTTTCAAAATCCCATGTTTTTTGTTGAAAAAGATAAAAACGCCCTGTACCCTGCGGTCGCCCCACGTCCAGTGCGCTCCAGTATCCGTATGCCCGTATGCGCCGAGGAACGGGCCACGGCACAAGCACACACCTCCTGATCTCCGCGCGGAGCTCTCTCGGGCGCCGCCCCCTGGCGCGGCCCGCTGGCCAGGGAGGGTTACGTTGCATCTTCGGGGGACCGCGCCTGTCCCCAACATCAGTGTCTTTTCTTGTACCCGACGCGGGCTCGATGCGGACTCGACGCAGATTTGTTGTGGATTCGACGCGGCTTCGACACGGATTCGACACGGATCCGACGAGGCCGACATGGGTTCGACACGGATTCGACGCGGATAGGGCCGCGACGGGACAGACAAGGTCCCCCGATGATGCAACACAAGGAGGGGGCCCAGCGCACATCCCAGAAGTCCGCGCGGATTGTCGACAGTTAATGTTTGTGCACTCTTTGTTTGTTCTAGCTGAGCGGATCGCGCGGGCAGGGATCTGCATTCGTGCGTGTGGGAGCTTCGGATTTGTTCTTCCCCCAGGAACCAGAGTCGCAGTAGATGTAGATCGAAGCCTGGCCCCTAGAGCCCTGGACGTTTGTCCATGTCCACTGCGACTCGGCCTTTTAGCCCCTTCCCAGACAGTCCAACACGTCACGTAGTGGATATGGATACATCTAAATCAGGAGGGACACAAAAACACACAGACACAATACATCGCCGACTCCCAGGAAAATATGGGAAAATATAGGAAGTGGGGGGGAAGACGACAACGTAGGACACAGAGGAAAATTCAAGGAATCCTAGGATCTGCGTCTAGTTCTTTGTGTCTCCCTGGGCCCATTCGGTACATCTTCCCCGCAAAACTGGTCCTGGGGCTTTTCTCTGGGGTCGGGCCCCCCTGGGCCCCCCCTCGGGCCACAGGACCGCCAAGGAGCCACCCTCGGCGGCCAAGTCCGCAGCCTGCCCCCTCGCCGATCAGGGAGCCGGGCAGCTCGAGGGGCCGCGGCGGGGCCCGGGCTCGGGCTGCGCGCCAGACGCGCGGCGAAGCCCGAACCCTGACCCCCGCCGTCTCCGCTGCAGAAGAGTCGGGTGCTTTGAGGGGGTCTCCTTCACCTCCAATACTTCTGGTCCTCCTCCCTCGTCTCTTGCTCCTCGTCTCTCCCAAGTCCTCCCTCACCTACCCACGGGGCATAGGGCACCGACGACGGACATCGCCACCCAGCCTCGGCACGACAGCCTCGCCGTTGGGGGCAGGGAGGCCCCCCTGTGTCCAGCACCCGGCTCCCTCGGGACCCGCGGGCTCCACGGCGCCTAAGGGGGGCGTGGTCGCGCTCGCCGCCGGGGACGCGGCGGGGCTGGAGGCCGCGGAGGCGCTCGGAGGAGGAGGAGGAGGAAGGCACTGGTGTACAGTGCCGTTTTTAATACATGCTCCGCGTGCGTATCATGTATCAAACATGCAGGGAGTCATTAGTAAAAACAACGATGAGGTCGTGCATTAATCGATTCACACATTAACCATGTATTAAACATCCAGTGTGTGTGTGTGTTTATCCTATGTATTAAAAACTGCCCTGTACCGCTGCTCGTCCGGGAGGGCCCTCGCCGCCGCTGGATTCTCGTGGAGATCCTGCTCGGAGTGCGCCTCGGGAGAGATCCGGGGAGCAGCGGCATCTTAACGGGCGAAGAGCGGTATAACATAAACTTTTTCGTTGTCGGGGCCGCCTGTCCCAGGGCGGCTGGAAAGTTTATACCCTTACGGTGGCACCGTAGGGGTATGAACTTTCCAGCCGCCAAGGGGCAGGCGTCCCCGACGGCGGAAAAGTTTATGTTATACCGTCCTTCGCCCGCTGAGCATCCCGAGACATCCAGCCGCTTTGCAATGTTTCCGAGGCGTGGGCCCCCCGGAGGTCTGGAGCACTCTCCGGAGGGCCTGTGGCTCTCTGCCCCGGGTGGTTTCTGGGCGGCCCCGGGCCCCGGCGGGGGCTCCCCGTGGCCCAACACGGCCAAGCACTGGTGGCCCCAACGTTTGTCGGGGCGTCGGATCGCTGGGTCGGTTGCTTTTTGTTTGGTCCGCCCAGGTGGTGGGCCTGTTTTCCACCGCCACCGCCACCATGATTAAGGTGGAGGGGGAAGGAGGTGGAGGATTAGGAGGAGGAGGGAGAAGAGGAGGAGGAGGAGGAGGAGGAGGAGGAGGAGGAGGAGGAGGAGGAGCGGGGAGGAGGGGGAGGAGGAGGAGGAGGAGGAGGAGGAGGAGGAGGAAGAGGAGGAGGAGGAGGAGGAGGAGGAGGAGGAGGAGGAGGAGGAGGAGGAGGAGGAGGAGGAGAGGACCTCCTCCCCCACCCACTTGTGGTGGTGACAGTGGTGGGAGACAGGCCCGGCCCCAGAGGCCTGGGTGGCCGCGCTGAGGCTCGCGTGCGGCCCCGGCGTGCCGCTGGTCCTGGTGCAGACCATATGCTCGGCAGCGCGCCGCTGGAAGGGGGGGGGCCTGGCCGAGGGGGGGGGGCCTGTCAGAGGCGACGATAGGGGCGAATGGCCCTGGTAAGAGCCCCGAATCATCAGGGGTAACTCGGGTCAGGGCTAACTCGGGTTCGTTTTTCGGGATTCCGAAGCCGATTTACCCCGAACCCGACTTACCCCAGATAATTCGGGCGTCCAGAGCCCCAAATCATCAAGGGTATCTCGGGTCAGGGCTAACCCGGGTTGGTTTTCCGAGGGGGGAGGCCTGTCAGAGGCGACGATACAGTCGGGGCCCTGAAGAAGGAACCCTTTTCGTTGGGGAGGGGCTCCGCGTTCCTTCAGTGTTTCACAGCTTGCCTCAGGTTTTCCTTAGGTTTTCGACCGGAAATCGAAGTTTAACTGATGGGAAAAAGGGGCCTCGTTCCTTATTTGGGGTTCCTTAGGTCAACGCCCCGACTGTAGGGGCGAATAGCCCAGGGGAGAGCAATACTTGTATTCAGGTGCGCTGGTGATCTGTGTCTTCGAAAAGGCTTCCGGGCGAATGCGTGTAATGCCCGCCCCTGGGCTGTTCGCCCCCATCGTCGCCGCCGGGCCTGGCCGAGGGGGGCGGCCAAAGTCAAGCATCAAGACGGGCTAGTCCTTTTACAGGAGGAAGACTCAACAAAAACAAAAAAACAGTCTTGGGACGATCCGTTTGAATAGTCTTTGGCTATGTGGGGGCATGTCTTGACTGTCTTGAAGGTTTCGTGCAAGATCCGCCCGTAGCAGGGCATGCCCGATTTGCAGCCTGGCCGAGGGCGGGGGCGCCAAGCAGGGTCAGGAGGGGGAAAAACACACAGACACAATTAATCGTCGACTCCCAGAAAATACAGGAAAATATGGGAAGTGGGGGGGAAGACAAAAACCCAGCAAACATGGAAAAAGATGGGGAATCTTTTTGATTGTGTGTATTTATTTGTGTGTCCTGGGGCCCCTTCACAGGGGCCTCGCCTGCGAGGGCGGAGGAGGTGCCACCGCTGCCCCGGCGGAAGGCGGCGGAAGGCCGGCGGGGGACGACCGGTCACCTCTCCGGCGGCGGCGGGCGGCGGGAGGCCGGCGCGGAAGCCGGCGCGGGTGAGGAGATTTTTTGTCCCAAGAATTTGGACGCCCGAAATCAGAGCCCCGAATCACCAGGGGTAACTCGGGTCAGGGATAACTCGGCTTCGTTTTTCGGGAATCCAAGCCCGAGTTACCCCGGACCCGAGTTACCCCGGATAACTCGGGCGTCCAGAGCCCCGAATCATCAGGGGTAACTCGGGTCAGGGATAACTCGGGTTCCTTTTTCGGGAATCCAACCCGAGTTACCCCGGACCCGAGTTACCCCGGATAACTCGGGCGTCCAGAGCCCCGAATCACCAGGGGTAACTCGGGTCAGGGATAACTCGGCTTCGTTTTTCGGGAATCCAAGCCCGAGTTACCCCGGACCCGAGTTACCCCGGATAACTCGGGCGTCCAGAGCCCCGAATCACCAGGGGTAACTCGGGTCAGGGATAACTCGGCTTCGTTTTTCGGGAATCCAAGCCCGAGTTACCCCGGACCCGAGTTACCCCGGATAACTCGGGCGTCCAGAGCCCCGAATCACCAGGGGTAACTCGGGTCAGGGATAACTCGGCTTCGTTTTTCGGGAATCCAAGCCCGAGTTACCCCGGACCCGAGTTACCCCGGATAACTCGGGCGTCCAGAGCCCCGAATCACCAGGGGTAACTCGGGTCAGGGATAACTCGGGTTCGTTTTTCGGGAATCCAAGCCCGAGTTACCCCGGACCCGAGTTACCCCGGATAACTCGGGCGTCCAGAGCCCCGAATCACCAGGGGTAAAACTCGGGTCAGGGGTAACTCGGGTTTTTTTCGGGAATCCAAGCCCGAGTTACCCCGGACCCGAGTTACCCCGGATAACTCGGGCGTCCAGAGCCCCGAATCATCAGGGGCAACTCGGGTCAGGGGTAACTCGGGTTCCTTTTTTGGGAGTCCAAGCCCGAGTTACCCCGGACCCGAGTTACCCGGATAACTCGGGGTTCCAGAGCCCCGAACACATGGGGTAACTCGGGCAGGAACTCCCCGGCATTCGTTTTCGGGAATCCAAGCCCGAGTTACCCCGGACCCGAGTTACCCCGGATAACTCGGGCGTCCAGAGCCCCGAATCATCAGGGGCAACTCGGGTCAGGGGTAACTCGGGTTCCTTTTTTGGGAGTCCAAGCCCGAGTTACCCCGGACCCGAGTTACCCCGGATACTCGGG